TTCCCTACATGCTATTTTCATTGGTGTTAGTGATCAGCTTGTTAGGTTGAAATGGAAATGTGCTTTCTTTGGGGGGATTAACTTATGTGGAAGTTTGTAAGGAGAGAAAGAAAAGTAAAAAGCATCAACCAACAAGTAATCCTGCATACTAGATGCTATAACCATCTTTTAAAAGCAGACAGAAAACTTGTAAAGAAACTTTTGGCACTTTAAATAAAATGCACTCTTAGATATCCCTTCTTTAATGTATTTTTTTTACCCTAACCATAGCAGTTATGATTGTTTTGAAATACTGTTTTTAGCAACTGTAATAACAAAGCATTAAAAAAAAAAAATAGTCTTTTAACTGTTGAGGTAATGACTGGGCATTTTAGCTGCTGTAGCCATACTTTATAGTTTGCAAAAATAACGATACGCAGCAATAAAGAGAGATTCTCAAGCACAACAAAAGCTGTTTTTATATACTGGTTTTCATTAAGTCTCACTCCTCAGCTTCAGTTTCCTCAGTATTCCTGCCAATAACAACACCTGCTAAGTGATTGCTGCCTGCCAGGCTCTGCATCTAATACACTAATGTGTCCAGGCTGAAACGGGAGAGGAAGACACAGTATTTCACAAAGTTTTAGGCCCAGCATTAGATTTCTCTCCCACCCTCAGTGTCAAGAAAAGGAGTCTCTGCTCCAGAGCGTTTCAGTCCTGGGAACTCGGTGCAGACAAATCCTCAGCCCTGGTTAGGACCAGAGCAGCAGCACCCATCACGGAGGAGTCACTGCCCTGCCACAGTGGGTATGGCCCTCCTGGGACACTTAGAAATACATATATTTATTTTTTTCTTCTTGAAAGAGTTTCAGGGGCTATTTTATGTGCAGCTGCTATTGTCATGTAAAATGTTTACACAAAAAAAAAAAAAAATCAGACTGAGCTCTAATGGGAGAGCCACTTACTGGAAATGTATTTTACGGGGTGAAGGAGAGGGTTACCTCTCTGCCTTGTTTATATCTAAAGGAAAAAAAGAAAATGACTCAGTCTTCACCTTTAATAGGAAGACATGACTGCTTCTTGAAAGGGAAGGTTAATAATAAAGTCCTAAGAAGGATATTGAATGCTGAAACAATTATGGCATTTAGGATTAAGTTAAAACATGATGAGGAACTGTTCTCAAAAACCAAAACTGAATAAAGCGCCCAGCAAGGTTCAGTGATTGAATTTGTAGAATTTAGGACCTAAAACTCGTGGGGTTTGATGGGTTTTCTGTGGTGTGGTGTGTGGTTTTTTTTTTTCCTCTTCTTGTTTTCGGGATAGTGTTGTCAGGGGTTTTGGGGTTTTTTTTTTAAGGATGGAGGAAATCCTCCTTCCCCCATCCCCAGTAGAAACATTACAAAAACCTTTAACTCTTTGATGCAAGGGCTGTAGTCCCCAGGGTATTGGAGAGTGCCCCGTGTTGTGCTGTACTGCAGTGCAGGAGTTCTCGCTCTCTAGAGTGCTAACTCTGTGACTGAGGCTCCCTCCCCTCTGACAGCAGAGATACCTCGTCCAAAAAATTACAGTATGTGGGAAACAGGCTGTGTACAAAATACCAGCGTGAACAACTTTTCTAATCACAGTAACTAGTTTTTAAATAGAAAATGCAAACAGGGAGAAACTGTGTCGAGTTTCCATCAGGAAAAGAAACCCTCCCATCCCGGTCCCTCCCTGGTCTTTGCCCCGCACAACCATCCACGGCCGCTTCCATGTTTCTAATTGATGCCAATATTAAGATTTAATAGTTTACCGTTCAGATTAATAATTCAAGATGGCAACAAAACCAACACCATTCATAATTTGTTATTCTGCTCTAATTCACAACCGATTTTTCAGCCCTGGCGCTAGAGATGCAACAAAGAAAGGAGCAGCGCGGGTCTGCGGAGGGAGCGCAGCGCTCTCCTCCCTTACCCGAGCCCGTGTTTTGGTGGCAGCACTGGCAGGGATTGGATTCTGGCTGGACAAGGAGAGAGTTGTCAAATAAAACACGGAAAAGGGGAGAACTTTGCTGGCGATCGACGAGGTCGTGTTTCATTAACTTGTTGGTTCAGGCTCGCAAACGGTCGGCGGAGGTGAAACGCGGCAGACTCGCTGCGTTCCAGCTTTTTGTTCTCTCTTTCCTCACAGACTGCAGTCATGTTTAATTTGGAAACTGGGCTCCTTTGGCAAATTAGCAATTAGAACAATTTTGTGGGAATATGTATATGTGTCATTAGTTTTCCTGCAAATTAATAGCAAGAGCAGAGGTCAGGCAGAAATTTTCCACTTGACTGCAGCTCCTCTGTTGAGATTTGGCACTTTGTTTTGGAACGGCCACAGCTGCTCAAAGCCACAGTCTTCCTTTAGGAACTGTCTTTTAATTAGTTTACCTCATAGCCATTATTACAAATATTACTGCCTCCCCTCCTTGAAATAAAATTACTGTTTCTACAAAATATTCCGGTGACATCTTGCACCACTGCACATTGATGGTGGGGTCACTTGGATGCAGCGTTTAATCATTAGATCACCTCCATAAGCATCTCCTAATTAGAGTCCTTACAATACAATTTTATCTGGTAATTAGCTGAGATTGGCTGCTTCCTCTGTAGCTTATTAGTGGCAGCCCAGCAGTGGGTGTGAATCGCAGTGTCATTTGTCAAGCCTGTTAAAGCCCCCCCCTTTGCTCGTCCTCTTCTGTGTTTATTCCTCTTTGCTACCTACGCTGAAAAGCCTAAAGAAATTTAACTCGATTCCAATTCTTTAAGCAGGGAGCTCTGACCTTTGTGGATCCTTTCTCGCGGTTCCCTAGTAGAAACAGATTAAATGTTAAGTTTTCACGTGCTAAGAAAGGAAGGGGGCTCTTTTGAAATGGAGTGGTTGGAGCTGTAATGATGAAGCACGAGCAGTGATCTTTCCAACGGGAGGGCCCAGCTGCCGAGCCTGCGCTGGAGACGGGCGCTTAAAATTGATGCAGATTTGCTCGCAGTTATTGGACTGTTAAAATGTCCATTTAGAAACTGAGATAAAATACAGTAGATTTAATTTCATGGTGAGACCTGTCAGTTGTGCTGTTATTATCGTCACTGGTCCTTTTATCATATGTAATAGATGGATGGATGGATAACAGGGAGACGTTATACATGTCCCTAATCAGTGTCCTTAAATCACGCCAGTCAACAACAAACGGGCTGAGCTCTGGGTGGTGGAACGTGGCAGCAGGGCTTTGAGCAGGGCACGGGAGTCTCTGGGAAACCCGTGCCCACGTTTCACCCCCTTCGCCATCCCTCGTGGGGTTCACGCTCTCCAGCTTTGGCACAGAGTGTTAAATCTGTCCCACTGGAAGGCGACGCATCGTTCGTCAGCGTCATTCCTCCACGGTCAGGAGGGAAGAGCAATCATAATGGATCTGTTGCTTTCCCTGGGCAGTGGGCTTCTTGTGTTGGTGTCCTTTCTGAAATAGTAGAGCCCTTTATTTTCCACTACTGTTGTTTTGGATAAATCCTATTATTTTTAGAAAGAGACATTGTTTGTGGCTATTAACCCACACAAGGGATGCTAATAGGAGTTTTCTTATCTGGTTACTTTCATACAAGGAAAATGAATGCGGTGACTTATGGATAAGCATGAGATATTTGGGGGCATAGCCAAGTAGTGCGCCTTGCCTTCATCATAAAAGGTTTAATGTCCAGCAAAAAAGAATTTTAATGCTGGACAAAAGTTGTGAAATTATGGCAGTTGAATTCAGTAGGAATTTTGCTACTGACTTCGATGGGGTCGGGATTTCACCAATATTATTCACAAAACTGCCTAAGGGAAGGAAATGTGGAAGTAGTCAAAGAGCCCTTTTCTCAGCCCTCCTTTCTGATGTTATAGTTAAGAGATCGGGTTGTTTGTTTAAAATACTTCAGCAGGCGTGACCTATTGCGACGGAGCATCGTCTTTCAAAGGACGTTGTAGGGCAAAAGGAAAGCGTCGGGGAGGAATGTGGATGCTGGTTATATAAATAGGGTTGTGTATCGAAAAAGCTTGAGTTGGAGCTGGGTTTGCTACACAATCCTGGAGGCAGTTGTGTTTTACAGCCTGCTGTGGCAAGCTGCCATTTGTCCAGGGCTGGGCTTTGTGCAGGTAGTGACGATTCCTCCCGTCCTAGGAGGAAAAAAAAAGAGCAGTGCCACTTCTGCTGGGATGAATGCTTGCAGTATTTCATGCGGTGTGATTAATTAAATTATTCCAGTGTTAACCTACTCTGGGCTTTGCTTTTAAAATGGATGAACAGAGGGGGGGAAAAAAAAAAGCCCAAATGCTGAAGAGAGAGATTGCATTTCTCCCTAGTACGTCCCTAGGAAAGTCTGGCCTTTTATTTTAAGCCTGATGCCTTCAATGAAATATCCAAGAAGACTGATTAGAAAGCCACGCATAATGATGGCCTGGAAATAAGAGATGTATGTGGCTTAGGTTGTGAAACAATGGACCTAAAATAAAATATTAAAACGATTACGTACTGTGTGGGATCTTGTTTTGAGGTTTAGAACAGAATCCACGACTTGCAGTTGTGGCAGCAGGCTACGTTCTTCCTTTCTAAAATCTATTCAGAAATGTCTGTCTGTCTTCGCCGGCTCTGACGGAGGTTACAGCAGCACTCTGTGCTGAAGGAGGCAAGCGCTGGGGCTGCGCTGTCTGCTTCGAGGACTCCGTTATCGAGAATTTTCTCTGCAGCCCTTAATTAGCAGGAAGGCTGTTCCTAACGAAGTCCCCGTCCTCCCCTCCGCAGCTGAATCTGGTATCGAGCGTCACGCTTTCCAAGACTGCGTCCGAGGCGTCTCCGCAGAGCTTACCTCATACTCCCACCACCCCGACTGCGCCCATCACTCCCGTCACGCAGGGACCCTCGGTCATCACTACCACCAGCATGCACAACGTGGGGCCCATCCGGAGGCGGTACTCGGACAAGTACAACGTCCCCATTTCTTCAGGTAACGGGGCTCCGGTGGCGCGGCCCCTTTCGCCGGGGCGGCCTGCGGTTGGCTGCAGCCTGGCAGGCTGTGATGATAACAGAACAACTGCTCTTATTTAGCAGATATTGCCCAGAACCAAGAATTTTATAAGAACGCAGAAGTTAGACCACCATTCACGTATGCATCTTTAATTAGACAGGTAAGCTGAGCCAAACACACGCATTTGGATTAGGAAAAAAATATCTCCCTATATGTGCGCACTCTGGATTAAATAGATTTTCAAACCTTTGGTATGTAAGCGTGCTCAAATGCTCAAACCTTTACTATAAGGGTTTTTAGAACTGCAATATATAACATAATTGCTTTTGATTAAGTATTACAATACGATGTGATTATTAGGAAATTCATTTCACACAACAGTGAAAATGAGCCTGTTTAAAGATGGCAAGTCAATTATCACAAGCTACAGTAATCTCTGATCCCTAGAATTAATCTGAGCTCTAAATAATTACTGAGCTTTAATCAGCTAGTGAAATGTTTTGCATTTCTCTTTGATTCTGCTTTATGAATGACTAATAAATTAATATTTCTGTAAGGAAACAGAAATAAAAACTCAAAACAATTAGATAATTCCATTTTGAATTTTGCCATTGAACTGTTAAATACAGCCATTAATCTTAGTTCGTATTGTGAAAACCCTCCTTTGGATTTTTTTTTGCTCCGCATCTCTTCTTTCTTCCTTTCTTCCTTCCCTTTTCGTATCTGGTAAAGTAAAACTGCGAGTGTATTTTGTAGTGGTGTGCCTGTAACTGATCTTGCAATCGCTTTGCTTCACAAGGCCATCCTGGAATCTCCAGAAAAACAGCTAACACTAAACGAAATCTACAACTGGTTCACGCGAATGTTTGCTTACTTCAGGCGCAACGCGGCGACGTGGAAGGTAAGCCCCAGCCCGCCTCTGCCTCTTGCCTGTGAGAGCTGACATGCACAGAATAGACATTGCTGATGACATAACAAATTGTAACGACATGTGGACATGAAAATTTAGATCGGCAGTTTTGACACACACTGGGTGCCTTATCTGCAGGAACAATTTGATATTTGGCAGAAAAATTCTTCTGCCTTTGAAAACCACTAATTGAATCCCCATTATTGGCTTTTATGTTCTGTGATTATGCCACGAGTTCCTCTGTGTGGTTGCTGCTAGCAGTGAAACTCAAGCCCTTCAGCTGGAACGTGTTAGGAAAAAAAAAAAAAGGAAAGAGGTAAAGTTATTGTGTCAGTAGAAGATACACGGTTTGTCTTTGTAGTTCTGCAGACTGTAATCACAACCACCACTTTTTTTCCCTAGGATCTGTAGATCAGTGGATTTCTTTCCTCGGTCAGTTGACTCTTAAATACATACACAGATCTGTTATATACTTCCTCTTTACATTTTTTTTTTCTTTTCTAAATCACACAGCAGAAGGTTGTTGAACATAATATGCAAGAATCAAGCCCCACAATAAGAAATGTGTTGAACTGAAGGAAACCTGTTATTTGGCACTCTTGATTTCCTACCATAGCTATCTCAGATATTGTTAGATAAAAGGTGTGGGGAGTTAATTTTATTTTATATTTTGGAGGGGCCACTCCTTCCCTTCTATATAGCATTATAATAGCCACACTGGCTTCTGAAGCATGTGCCATTACAAATTTAATGCCTCAAATAACGGGATCTTGTATCGCTGTAAAAATTGCACCCCTGGTACTTCAAGCCTCTCTTAATCTAGGCAACTCTGTTGCTTTCACCAACCTCAGGTGACCAGGTACACTGTTTATGTCCCATACATGGCTGTTTCATCAGCTCTTTCTGTTTTTCCTGTCTCAGCCTGCACTTAGAATGGAGCTAAAGATGGTCCTTGGAAGTTAGCTTGGTTTTTAGTAGTATATTTTGCTTTTAATTCTGATCCCAGTGCAATTTTATACATTTTCAACATTGGTCTAGAAGCTCTTAGCTTCAGGAAAAGTCTCTGTGATTGCTGCTTTGATTCTTCACTGCAGTTGGAACACATGAGCAGTGTTTCACTTCGCAGCTTCCTCACTATCCAGCAAGGAAATTAACTTTCCCTGATTTAAGATCCTTTTAGACCTGCCTGTCTTGTGCTGCTGGAGTGGTTCCAGTAGGATTTTTCAGCAGCTGCAGGTGTGGGTGCTGAAGTAAAAATCCTATTTAATTTCAGCAGCAAAGGGAAGGGAAGTGGAGGGAAGAGTGGAAGAAGGCACCAGGCAGCCTGGCTGCATCACCTGTGAGGCTAGTTTTAGGAATTAGCTGTGTGCATCACTTAAAATCCAGTCCCAGAAGCCACATGCATTTAGAGTGAGCTACTGTGGAGGAGGAGGAGAGAGGCTGAGCTGCAGACCCTGGGGCTTGCAGAAGGACAAGGTGTGCTCTGGGGAAGCAGGTACCATTTGGGCTTCCTGGACACCTTGACCTTGTGCAGGTGTCCAGGTCGTGCTGCACCTAACAGGGAAGAAAAGCTTCACCCTGAGTTCCACCAGCGCTAGCAAAATTGGCAACTGCTCAAAGTAACACAGGATTTTGTGCTGAAGACTGCTCAGATTTATGCCAGTGTTCAGGAACAGCAGGGATGAAAATGCAGCTCAGGATTGGCATGATGGGAAGCCCACAGGGCACAGAACAAGCGTGAGGGGCTAATTGCAGAATCAGAATAATTTGAATATATATGTGCTGATTTGCGCTCACCTTCAGCTAATGCTTAGGGGGCATTTGGGTCAGTGTTCCCCAAGTTTAGGGTCAGAGTTTCGTGTGGGCAAGCTTCCCTGAGCCCTCTTTGAAAAACACAGAAGAGTGCAGGAATAAAGACCTTTAAAAAATGAACCTCTTTCCCAAAATGCAGTACAGCAGAGCCTGAGCAGTTATTAAAATAACAAACCCTTTCATTTACTACATTCAAGCATGTTCAGGGTAATTTTTCTGCAAAAGTGGCTTGCATACAAATATTTTTAAAAAGGTAAATATATAATCTTACAATAATAGCTCCTAATTTTTCTGTTAAGCTGATTGCTGGGGGAGCACTGTGAACTGGTTCTGACAGGTCAGAGGCAATGTCTGTTTGCTTTTATTTTTTGGAGTAATTTGCTGGCACTGAATGGCAGCCATGAGGCACAGGCTGCAGGTGTGGCTCCAAAACATTTGGGTACTGTTCAGATAAGACTCTTAGATAGTAAGTATCCAGAGGCAGGGGAAAGAAAACTATTTTTTTCTGCCATCAATTCCTTAAATAAGTGTTCACATGGAAAATAGAAAGCAGGGGCAACACTTCATGGACATCTTGCAAATATTCAACTCGTCTGTCTGGAGGTATTCAGCAAGAGCCCAATCCAGCAGCCTTAACCAGCAATTACATGTTGACTTCAAGGAACAAGAAGATACTATGAAGTATTTCTCCAGCATTAAATGCCTGTAAAGAAGAACTTGGGTGTTTCTTCTCAACTGTGCATTTAGACACTGTTTACAAACTCTGAGGACCCCCTTCTCTGAACTTTGCTGTGCACATTTGATCAACTGCTGTATGAGCTACAAGATCAGCTTTCACTAGGGGAAATAGTGTTATTATTCTTACATTTCACTCCAGACTTGACAGTGTTCCCATTTTCACAGGAAACTGCCTGAGTTACCCAGATGTGGGCCGGCAGCCCTGTGTCAGGTTGCACTAGTGCGGCACCCACCAGCACTTGCTGAGCTGGCTGATTTTAGCTCATAAGGTGTGGGGCCTTTGCATGTTTTTCCTCCACCTCAAAATCAGGGATTGTGCCAAAAATTTCAAAAGTAGTGAAATCTACAATAGATGTGAGGGAAAAAAAAAAAAAATCATTAAAAACTGAGAACAGGAGACAGTAAGGGTAGAAGGAAGCAGCCCTGACAGGAAGGTAGATTTCTAGAATTTGCTAGATCTCTGCCTTGTTGAGAGGAAAAGCATGTTCAAGATCTATTTTTCCACCATTTCACAAGCAGGTCAGTGTGGAAGTGCCAGGAATAGGCACCTGCAGCCAGAAGAGATGTGTTGGCACTCAAGAATTTGCTGAGCAAAGGCAGTTGGAGCCCTGAATCTTCCCCTGTACCAGGGATGGGAGTGTGGGGTCTGTGCTAGAGCAATGGAAAAGTAGCAGAAGACTCTTGGCCTTCCACTTCCAGGCACTCAGACCATTGCCTCTTAATTTCCATGACAAATGCACTATGCGTACCCTTTGTTTGCACAGTGATTTAGACATGATGAGGGCTCCCATTCCCCATCCAGACCTGATGTTCATTAAAAAAAAAAGAAAAGGGAGACGACACGACGATGGAAGGAAAAAAAATTGTAGTCTCTTGGTTGCCTAGACCCAGGCCATGTGTTTGGCTGGCATTGTGCCTGCTAACGAGTCAACCAGATTGACTAAATCAATGGTGCCAGTGATGATGGATGGATGGAGTTTGTTCGCCTGCATATTTTCAGCAAATGGCTGCTTCTGTTTTCCCTGTTTACCGAGCCCCTTTCCATGGCACTGGGGAAAAGCCCCGTGGGCAAATCTGAGTGGCTTTGTGGTTGGGTATTTGCTGAGAAAAGTCACACAGTGGGGAAGGAGCGTGGCACTCTGTTGGAGGACTAACAAGGCTCTCGGCACCTTTTCAGGGGGAGCAGGGACAGGAAAGCCACAGCTTGCCTTGACAAAGTGAGGTGTCATTCTGCCTGGCTTCAGCAAAGGTCCGAGCACGTCGGAGGGGTTGGCCAGGCTCGTTCTGCCTCGGCGCCGAGCTGCCGAGAGGACATCTGAGCATCGGGTGCCATGAGCACGGGTCCCTCTGGGTGATGAGCTGTGGGGATATTATCACTTTGTTTCGGAGAGCCCTCCTCATGTTTTCACTTGGCAGAGGCTCAGATCAGTCAGTACAGTAGTCTGCCAGAAATAGGAGCCAACTTCCATATAAGAGCAAGCCGTGAAGGCAGGAGCCGGTGCCGTGCTGGCCGGTGGGGTGCTGCCGACCCCCCAGTCCCTGCCGTGGGTGTGGATGGAGGTCCAGCACCTGATTCCCATTAATCCAGCTGTGGGAAACCACAGCGACAGCAGCTCCAGCCCCTCTCTGCCAGACTGAGCCGTCTGTACTTAGGTGAAATCCTTTCTGTTCTCTCTAACTGCTTTCTTTTCCAGGGGAGAAGTTTCTTTTTGCAGAGCGTGTATAGTTGTTTTGAAACTGTCTAAGCAATGTTCTTGAGTTGTGTATGAAATGTGCTGTACTGTGCAACGTGCATGTCTAAAATGATGGCTGTTCTCATTCACACTGGGGATAATTGATACGATTTAGATGGATTTCTAATCTTGGGTTTCTTGGGTTTAAGCTGTTATATTTATTTTGTCTTTGCAAAAAATAAGATGTAAAGAGCTGGGGAGAGCAAGCGGGTGCGGGGAGGGGAAGGGGCTTTGCATTGCAAAATGAGGACTGTCAAGCTGACTGTGCTGCTGTTCTTGGACAATGATGAGCATTTTCTGATAGAAAGTTTTTGAATGTTTTCTCTTTTATACTTGCTGCAGAATGCAGTGCGTCATAATCTTAGTCTTCACAAGTGTTTTGTGCGAGTAGAAAACGTTAAAGGGGCAGTATGGACAGTGGATGAACTAGAGTTCCAAAAACGAAGGCCACAAAAGATCAGTGGGTATGTCCACCATGTTTGAACTTCTTAGCCTAGCTTGGATCATGCTTACAGTTTAACGTAGAGGCTTTTGGCTGCTAGCTGGTGTTAGACCAACCGCAGGTGGTTTCACATTGTTTCAGTTAAGGGAAACCAAGACAAACATCTCATCACTACTGTTTGTATGCCCACCAGTACCCTGACCCTGCTTGCTTGGTGTTTGTTGCATCACATGCTAGTAGCTTTTAGGTGGCAATGCATATTAACCCTCACAAACCATTTGCTTATGCTTATTGCATTTTATTTTCTTTTCCCTTTTCCCTGTATTTGATGTCTGTTCTGTCCCCGATCCCGTGTCCCTTTGTTTCCACTTCATCTCCTTTGCTGCTGCTCTTGTCCCAGGGTGCCATTCGCACCAACCTCTCACTGCATAAGTGCTTTATCAGAGTAGAGGATGAGTTTGGGTCCTTTTGGACTGTTGATGATGAAGAGTTTAAACGTGGCCGTCATATTCAACGAGGCCGTCCTCGAAAATACTGCCCTGATGAAAACTTTGGCGAGCTTGTTGCACAGTAAGAGCTTTTACTTGCTTTAATTTTTTTTTTCTGCTGTTGCTTTGCTTTGCATGATTTACCCATCTCATGTAGACTTGCATTTCACGAAATAGTGACATCACCTTTGCTGCTAAAGAAACTAAGTTTTTGGTTGTTACGTGTATTTTGTGTGTCCTACTCTGTTAATCCAAATACCTGTAGTAATAACTCTACTTTGACCTGGTTTTGGTAGCATTTGTTTAGAGTGCAATGTAGGCTGAAATAATTATCTATGCTAGTACAGATATGCTTCTGTAGACCTGTCAGGAAGACAGATACATGCCAGGAAAGGCTTCAGATAAGTTTTAATTCTGATATTTTCCTTTGCTTTCAGTTGTATGCTGCTTTTTTGCTACTGTTAATCAGAAGTAGAGTGAGGTCCTTAGAAGACAGAAATGCTGAATTAACTTTAAAAAGTTTGAAAGTGCAGTGAGACCAGCTGTAAAGATTATAATCAACAGGCCATCCTGTGTCTACAACAAGCACAAACAAATACTCCTGGCGTTTCCAAAGCAATTTTCTTTGACCTTTACTTGAAGGCCACCTCTCCAGGACAACAGATCCTTGCTGGTCCCTGTGGGAGGGGCTCAGTTAAGGCCCTTCTCACCATGACTTATTCCCCCATGAAAAAAAGCAAAAATGAAAATGCCCAGCGAGTAATAAAGCCAGAGATTTTTTGCGTTGGCACTTTTTATATGTTCCATTGGGTTTTATTTATTGTTTTCCACTCCAGTGGAACCAGTGGTATTTAGATGCCTGCTAAAGAGGGAATGGATATCCTTGGCATTCATTTGCCTCAAATCCAGCCCCCTATGTAAACTTCAGATGACTAAAGTAAGAGTCCAAAATAGCACACTGGAATATTTTTTATTAGAACAGCCTTTAGGGCAGCGTGTTGTCCTGCGTGGTCTGTGCCACTTGACTGCAGTGCAGCAGTCCCTGCCCTGCTGCCTCCGTGCCCACAGCCCCAAACTATTTGGGGTGATGGTGGGGATGGTCCCTCACCAGGGCCACTCACCATTGGCCTGGCAGGAGATAACAGCGCAAATCCTCTCTCATCCCAGTCCCCTGCTCCACTGCGAGAGACTCGGCTGCCAGTGATGCCAAGAGTAATTTGCACAAAGTAGTACTTAAGGTGTCCCCTGCCTTGGATTATAGCCTCCTCATGATGGACCTTTACATGGTAACTGGCTCCCAGGCACGACAAGTATTGGAGAATTTCCCCTGAACGCAGCTCAAATGAGCAGAGATGCCAAGATGTGCTACTAACACAGTGTAGTAGAACACATGGTGAGGTAACGTCGAGAGATAATGATGTTCCTTTTTTAGTAAAGGCAAATATGATAACCATAGCCTAAAACTCAGATATCTTCTTTACATTAAATTAAATTTAATTAAGAAAAAAAAAAAAGAAACACAGAAACGGAAGAGAACTTGTGTGGAAAAACAGTCTCAGCTCTAGATTTCTGGTGTGGGAGGAAGGCATACATGCTTGAAGTGCTCGCACAGAAGTTGGTTGCATTTAACTCTCCTTTTTATGTTTTTCTTATGCAGTAACCCTTCTCTTATTAAAAACATACAGACCAGCCACACCTACTGCACACCTCTCAATGCTGCTTTACAGGTAAGATTAATGACTGTAGCAAATATGCAACAGAGGCGTGTGTCTTCCCCACTCATTTCAAAATATATTAGCCTTGCTCTAATTAGATATTAAATTTTAATTCCGTTAAACTTTTTTCTTAAGTGCATAAAGCATCATAGTCCCTGGAGGCAAACACATATCAGGCTGCTTCAGCATTAGCTAGATGCTTAGCATTTTGAATATTGTGGCAAAAAAATTAAAAGTTCACTTATTAATATTTATCAGCAGTATCATAATTTCCATCCTCTTATTTCAGAATTTCACTTGAGGCAAAAATACCACAAGTGTAATTACTCTAGCACAGCTATTAATGTGCTGAATGATAGGATACTGCGGCACGTGACCTTCTATTGTTCATGGGTTTAAAGAGAAAGCAGATCATTTTTCCCCCTTTTCTTTTAAGGGCTATTTTTGCATATCTCCCATTGTTGGTAAAAAATAAAGGTCGCAACTCCTATTTTTATTTAAAAAAAAAAAAATATTGGTTTAAACTGTACTGTAATTGTAAGACAAAAATTGTGCTTTTTCCATGATGTAGAAATACACAAAGTGTCCGTACCCAAATAATAACTTGCAGCCTGAAAGTGTGCATGGCCCCAGCCCTTTTTCATGTGCTGTGTGTCATGTTGGCATTTTTTTGCCCTTCTCTACAAATTCCTGAGTCTGTGTCAAAAACCCCAGGTAAAGTCAGTATTTGCTGTGTGAACCAAAGAGCTGCGTGCAAAGGGCCGAGGTGTGTTTGCGGGGGGGTTCCAGGCTGTTCCATATCATGTGAATGAACCCAGGAGGCAAGACCAGGCCTGGTTGCACCCCAGGTGGTTGTTGAGGGTCACTTCTCGAGAACTTCACTGATGGCCATGGGGATTTGCTTGGGCAGATGTCTTTTGTGGAAGGTTTAGCAGACTTCTCTTTTTAGAACCAAGAAACTGATTATTAGGAACAAAACAATGTTCTGCATTTCTTCTAATTATTTGAGTTTATACAGTAACTTCTGAGGAGGGAAGGAAAGCATGTTGAAATGAAGCAACTGTAAATACCATTCATTAGTAACTTATTTTCCCTTGAGTCTTGTGAAGTATGATTTTTAAAGACTGCTTTGTCTCTTGAATAGTATTAAGATTACAAGCACATTTTACATTCATGAGGCTGAAAGGCAAAAATGAAATGATCCTGCATTTCTTCACATTGTTAACTATGTGACTAATTTCAATTAATATGCTTATCATACGGAACTGTTCGTGTTTTATTTCTGAAACACGTGTCTTTGTCGTCATCTCCATCCATTCTTGTCTTCTGTGATAACCTCCAAACCGTTCACACTTTCCCTGGAAGGGGCACGTACTTGTACACCCCCCCAGCACCATGGGGACTGAGTGGATGGAGAGAAGAGCCTGGGCCAGATTTGCCACTGCTCCTGTGGCCCTTGTACTCAGTGGGGGTCAGCAGTATTCATTGCACTGAGACAGGTCCTTGTTCCCATTGAGGATACACCAGCAGGTTCCTTGCTCCTCTCCCCTCTTGTTGGATTTCAGAGGCAAAATCCTGGCGGGTGCTGTAGGGGGCTTTGAGTGAAGCTGTGTGGGTGGTTGGTGCCATGTGGGCTGTTTTGACCTCGCTTGGGCAGCAGCATTCCCACTAGGACACGAGGCCACCTCACCTGCCAGCGCCTACGTTCAGTCTAATCAGTAATTAACGAGCAGCTTCTGTGGGCATCTGCAAAGGTTGGCTCTTGGCACGTCCCCCGTGTGCAGCGGCCGCCTCTCGGCACGCCGGGGGATGCTGCCGTGTGCTCTGTGCCACCGATGCCAGGCTGTGGTTTTCTGCTCCTGTGGGGTGGCAGAGCTGCTCCTCTCCTTCACCCAGACCTCTCTTATGTCTCCTCCATCTGTTCTCCCGCATGGCCAGGGAGGAGCAGCAGCTCTCTGTGGAAGGTGTAGGGACTCTGGCTCTCACCCGTGCGCTCTTTGCCCAGCGAGTTGCCAGGGGCTCCCAAAACACCTCACTCCCCTCATGTTATCTTCATAGCAGATACTCCTCATGTCCCATGTCTCCCCCAGCAAATTGCTTTACTGCAATTACAAGTTATCACTATGGGTGAAGAACTTGAGTCATTATTTTGCCAAGTGCAGGAAATGTGAACCATTCTTTGCATCCCCTAATCACAATGAGTTTGCCGGTTGTTGAATCAAGAAGATAAAAATAATCCTCCCTGTTAGAATGGCTTTTGTAATCATGTGTGACACATAGGGCTGCACACAGAGAGGTCAACGTAAAGAAGAATAAAAGGGGCTCATGCTCCTGAAGATGCTGCAGTCAGGGCTGGTCGTGCCCCCCCTTCCCATCCCATCTCCGCCCAGCCCAGTCTCTGTCTGCGTTTGCCTGGGAACAACTCTGCCAGCTCAGACAGCAACAAGCAAGGAGTTTTGTCCCACAGATTAGAGGCAGGCGAGAGCGCTGGTGGGGAGTACGTTTGCATGAGTTCCTCTCCCACGGGCAGGGCTTGCATCAAGCAGACCTGGAGCCTGATGGGTTTTTTGGCTGTGCCGCCGCAGCCGGCTGACCTCCCCCAGCCGCAGGTCGAGTGCTGCCGAGCCAGCGTCTGCGGCTCTCTGGTGCTCACACAGAGCTGCTGGTGACCTCAGCCAGGCCCAGCTGGGGTGGGTGAGATGGTGAAATGTCCTTCGAGTCCCCTTGGAAAGCCGAGGCCGTACATCCCATCCCTGCCAAACGCCAGGGCTCGGGGCTCCTGCACTCCCACCGCTGCCGCGCCGGGCGCGGGGCTGCGCCGTCAACATGAGCTAATGCTGACACACAGTAAATATTAGCAGGCAGAACGGTGGGAATCAGAAGGAAAATATTTAGCAGTTCATTCTCTTCCTACAAAGATTTCCATTCAGAAAGTTAACTCCAGTGTGCCTCTGCATGGTGTTTCTTTAGAACAAGGGAAAAAAATCGAAATGAAATGGGCAGGTCTGTAATGGCTAAGGTAAAAGCTGAGTTTCAGAGGTTTAAAAAATCTCAACGTGGACTGGTTCAGCTCTTGGGTAGATCGGTGCAACTTGGACTAATCCTGTTACCAGAAAAACTGAGCTCAGCCACACTGCCCTCCTGCCTGGTGCCCACGTGCTCTGGTAGGAAGGACTTAGCAGCTGAAAGACTTGGATTTTTGCCCCCTATTTCATTAGGGAAAAAAAAAAAAAAAACCAGACATAAGGCACAAAAAACCCCAAAGCCCCAAACATAATTTTGCAAAATGGAAATAGGAGAAGGCCGTTTTTATTTTTTCCAGGGGGTGTAATTCCAAATAGGGAGTGGGAAGCTTGCTCCTCTCACAAGCCAATGCAGCTATGGATGCTTAAACTTAGATGTAAATGATGTTAAATTTCCCATGGTGGAATGAGGGCAATACCTATGAGAAAACACAATATTTTAAGAAACAGTAATTGCAAATAATGTAAATGGGAAAGATCCTTTGGAATAAGCGAGCGTGTTGTGCAATGTGTGAAAACATCCGTCGTGGCTCCTCATGCATTTGTTTGTGTCCTTGGCAGGCTTCAATGGCTGAGAACAGTATACCTCTATACACTACTGCTTCCATGGGAAATCCCACTCTGGGCAATTTAGCCAACGCGATGAGGGAAGAGCTCAATGGTGCAATGGAGCACACGAACAGTAACGGGAGTGACAGCAGTCCAGGACGTTCCCCTATGCAAGCCATGTGAGTACGGCAGGGCCGCGGCTCGGGGCGTTGTCTGAGCAGCTGCTCAAGTGTGGCTCTGGAGACCTTCGTGTCATTTCCTGAGGTTCACGGACGGAGCAGCAAGAGTAGACCCCTCCATCTGGGGACGTGCTTAGGTTGATGAGGATATAACAGGGCCGTTTACCAACTTCCACATAAAACTCATCAGCTCAATCCTGTCCGACAAGCACGCAGAGCTGTAGGATCGTTAACTTGTTGAGACTTTCTTTAAACCTTGCAAAACTTCATAGGCAGCTGTGTTTCTTGGAGAAAATAAGATGTGATTCCTCTCCCCTTTGGTCTATGTGACAAGCACAGCTGGTGGGGCAGAGCTGGGAAATGGGCTTGTTTGGCAGGTCTCAAAAAAGCCGCTGGACGCACCACGGTGTTGCTACGCCTTGGCAATGGCACATGTGAAGGTCTGTGTGATTTGTAGATTGCTCTTAAAATATCAAAAGGAGAATTACTAGGAGCATTCTAGCAAGAGCTGGCAGGGTAACGAGTGCCTGTGTAGCTGCATGAGGTGAGGGGGCTCACCGGCCCTGCTCAGTGTGAGCGGCACCCGGGCAGGGGAAGGCAGGAAGGGTGTGATGCCCCGATGGGCGTGTTCGGTATTTATGGGGTGACAGAGTGAGTTTGCAAAGCTGTAAACTCCCCCCTCCCCTCCAATTACATACCGGGTAATGGGCGGCTGGCGAGGAGGCCAGAGTTTATAAGTCCTGTAGTTCTGTAAAACCTCTGCAGAGCAGTGGGCTACCTGGGCGAGTGTCCGTGTGCTGCCTCCCTGCTGCCTGTGCCTGGAAACGGGCTGTAAAATCACTGACTGACTGGCCACGGCTCACCTTAGGCATTAAAAAGAGAACTAATTTGTAGTCTTCTGCTTCAAAGTCATTCGAATAAGGGATTTACAAAAGTAAGTCTTAAATAAAAAAAAAGTAGAAAAACATTAACCTAATACCACAATAGTAATTAGTTGTGAAACTAATTAGCATTTAATGGCAAAAAAGTTTCCCACCTGCATAATGTGTTGTCAGAGGGGAGGGGGCACGAAGGAATCTGAGGCTCTGGGTACTTTGATATCACAGCATTTTAAATCAGTGCACAAAGTGCTTTGAAAAAAAAAAATTCTTTAAAGATGGCAACATTCATTTTTAATTAATAATTAATTTAAACATTGTCTTTTGCCATTTACTTCAAAACATTCAAATAATGTGTTTAGCTTTTGCAGGGATTGTTTGTGCAGTATTAATTATCTCTCCCAAAGTAGCGTTGGATGACACACTTTCCGTCTCTCACAAACGGATTCATCTTGAGGCAGTTTTAGTCACAATTTGTTATCCTCTGCCCGTGACCACGTAGGGCCGGCGTGAAGGAGGAGTGGAGGGACGTGGCTTTTCTCCAGAAACAAGACTTCTCCCAAGGGTTTCTCCTGGCCTTACAGACAGGGCTGAATGTTTATGATGTAGCGTTAATCCAAGTAATTATTTTTTTGCAAGTTCAAGGCTAGTGTAGTTCATGCACTTCTCATTTCACCTAAGGTTTCGTTGTCTTTGAAGAGACTGAGAGGAGGGAAAAATAACTGAGTTGAGACAGGCTAGGACATCTTCCAGAACTGTGCATAGCTGTGGCCTTTGTTGCACTTAATAATCATCTCTTAGCACATTGATACCAAGGTGAGGGGCACAGAACAAATACTGGAGAGAGAGGAGGTCGGGGGGAGGGATGCCTCATTTTCATTATTCACCAGAAAATCCAATTTTCTGTTGTAATATGGAAATGATTGTTTCCTGAGTGTTTTCATTTTCTCAGAATTGATAATATATGTGTTCTCTGCTGAACATTTCTTTTTGCTTAAGTAAAATGTGGCCGGGTGATGTTCCAATACCAGCCTCTGAGCTTCCCCATTAAAATGGTGTTTCTAAGTAGTTTGAAGGGATCTAAAGCCAGAACACTATTCACACGTCCCGGGGTTTACCCTGTTTACTAAATAAAATCACGAGTCAACAGTGGATTTCCAGACACTGTGCAGCCTCTTATTTTCCATAAGCCTGCTTTGCTAATGACATTTCCAATCTTTTTCTCAGAACAGATTTCCTTGTCATAATGCAAATTATTTTTTAAACAATTTCAGTATATTAGAATAAATCAAGCTTTAAACTTTATTGTAAGGTTTAAAGGACCTTGTTAACATGACAGCTAAGAAGTCTAACACTTTAGCTGAAGTCTTATTACTGCTCATTCGTTTCCTTTTTATGACACATTGAACCACGGCTAGGGATTTTTTTTTTGTTTTTTTTTTTTTTCCCTTCTCTCTCCCTTCTTTTGAAACACTAGAAAGTAGTCGCATAATTACAGCTTGGGGACATAACACTTTCATCCTGATATGCTCCAAAGGTAGCCACAAAGCAAACTACTCCATGCTGTGTGCACCACCAGAACTCAGTGGCTTTAAACAACAGTCAGCTTTATTAAAAACTCCTCTGTTCCCAGAGTGGACAAACAAAAGAATTACTCAGATGTGAAAAGAAGGGGAATCTGTGTTCAGCAAGGTTATTTATTGTTAACCCCTTCTGGAGTCTTAGGCATCTACTTAAAAGGAATGTGGAGAAATTCTGCTACTATAAAAACAAAAATGGGGAAACCCTTTTTTCTTTTGCTCCCCTCACCCCCTGTTTTTTGGGGGGTTTTTGTTTGTTTTTTTTCCCTAGCCCAGAATTTACCTTTTCTGTAATTCAACGGTCTGAATTCTTGAGGCTTTCCTTCCCTCTTTTGGGATTTGGGTGAGGTGGTAAATGTAGATTCAGACTTACATGAGAGATATGAAAGTCTCCCTTTGCCTTTCAGCTTATTTAAGGTTATTTATTTCAGCAGCTCTGAGATGCTGGAGCCAAAATCAGGGATTCAGTAAGGTTTCCTCCTCACGCCACTTTGTGGTTACAAGTGACGGACTGCACAAGGAGTTGAATTTTTTTTGTTGTTTTCCATGCAGATCTCTCCCCGGGGGGGTGTATTACCCAGATAACCCTCCTAATTTGGGGGATGGAGCTCCTGCCAAGCTCTCTGTCTGATGTTTGTGCAGCACGTGAGCTGCGGGCGGAGGCTGCCGTGGCTGTGCCTCCCCGTGGCTCGCTGGCCCTCTGGCTTTGTCTCGCTCGGGGTCGAGGAGCCCTTTTCATAACTTGGCACTTGCTTTGCTTTTCACTCCTGAAATTTTGTTTTTCTGACTTCTGGGAACCACACCAAACCTCAAAGAGAAACTCGGTTAAAACCACCTGGTTTCACCTGCTTTCATAACAAAACCAGAAGGGGGACAGAGTTTGCTTTGGAAAGGTTTGGGGACCTTTGAAGGAGCTTTCACAGCATTTCAGTGGTTGCAAGCCCAGCAGGTACCCATTGGATCTGCTGGCACCCCTTTGCTTCTGCCCTCTGGCCAAGTGCAAGGTGGGGTGGGATGGGGTGGGATGCTGAGACGTGGCCCCTGAGCAGCCCCTGGAGAAACTCCCATCTGGGCCAAGGCCACCTCTGCTGCACACAACGTGCGCTCTCCTCTCTCCTTTGAAAATTTCCCATATCCATTTATTAAAAATAATATTTCTTAAAAAAAAAAAATAAAAACCCACAACCAAAAATAAGCCCAGCAGCAGCATCCAAACCAGAAAGCCAATGAACAAGAGGTTTAAATGGAAAGAGCAGTAAAAAAAGTAAAAAATTTTATCATAAAGACAAAACAGCACACGCTTTATCGGTCTCTATGTAGAGCTGCTCTTTCCCCCTTTTTCTTCTGTTTTTCATTTCATGTTTTCTCCCAAGTGAGGGGCCCCACAGGCTATTCATAATATAAGTTTTTCTAGTTGCAAATAATCAGTGTGGTTTCATGTTGGCTCAGGCCACGAGCTGCTGGGACAGTTCACACCTGCACACCTCTGAGACGAGGACCCACTCACGAGATCTTCTATATTCTTAAGCTAATTCTTAACCTCTGATACTTGAATCATCTCCTCACAGTGTGTTTTTTTATCTCTCCTTTTTCAATAATTAGGTCAAAATTGTATGAGCAGTGTGTCTCTCCTCGTAATTTTTGCAAAAATTACTAGGACATGCAAAGGAACCCCAGCTCCCAGGGATGAGTTGATAGGGTAAATGTTGGTGAATTTGAAGGGAAGAGGTGTGTGTACATGGATAGGGCATCACTCCTCCCCACCATTCCTTTGTTGGATGGGTTGGAAGGTGCAGTTAATACTCACGTATTGATCTAGCACTTTACAACTCAAGAAGCTGAAATATGCGGGGACTTGAAAGGCATTCACCGCTCGCGTTAGAAATGTCTGTAGTCAGCAAGTCAGATGCTTCCTAAAATGATCCAGGCTCAAGCCAAAATAAATAACAGGGTGTGGTGTAGCTTTCTTTGCACATTGTACAAAGGTACAGCTGCTTCACCTGGGTCACTGGACGTGGGCAGGGTTACCTTGGGACTGTATGTGGATACCAAGAACGTTTTCCCTGCTCGGCATTTTATTCTTGTTGTCTGTCAGTGCGACAGAGAACAAACAGTGTTGTCATTCTTGTCCACACAAAACAGAAACATAAAATGCACTTAGTTTAGATCTTTCGTTTTGGAGCAAAGCTGTGCAAGGAGAGAAAAAGTTCTTAACAAGAAAGATTTGTGCTTCAGGTTATGTTTTCACGTAGCCTGTGTGAAAGGGTTAAATCAGCCCATATGGAGAAAAAAAAACAAGACTCTAGGAAGTGGATATCAACTCAATGAGAGACAGAGTGGGACTTGAACTCATTAACACTTTATTTTAAGGGATTGCCTACAACATCAATTATTTAGGAAGCAAACAGGGTCTCCGTTGCTGTGTCGCATTATTAATACTTGGTAATGTCAATAAAATCCTACTTTCCTATAAAGTCCCACCAACAAGACGCTATTGACTCACATGGCTATTTTACATTTCAAAAGCTGCTGAACAAAAAAAACAAAAAACAAAACCAAAAAGGTAATTTGTATTTGTATAGGATTTGTTGTACATATGATTTACGAACAACATTTTTCAATTGTTCTCCTACCCGTTTTGAATGACCAAGCCCCGTTCCCCCACGGGTTACTCATGTGCTACGCCATAATGAGAAATTTGGCAGATCTCATCTCTTTAGTATATCCTTGTGCCCACCATGAGCTGGGGATCATGTTCTGCCTTGTTTACAGCTGACAGTGTTATTATTCTCGTTAGGACTGTGCTTTCTTATCATATTGTTGTGTTGAGCGAGCCTTTTCCTCTCTGTTTGTGTTTCCTGGCAGGGCTTTTCTTCCCTTATTGACAGTTTGTAAAAATATGCATTAATTTGGAGTTTAAAGCATGTATCATGGTGTCTCTTTGCTGTGTTTGCTTGAAGTTGATTAATGATAGAACCTCACTTGGGGTCGTCCTCTGGAGAGTTGTCTCACAGGTTCTGCATGTTAACGAGCGACGCGGCGCGCGATGATTAGCCCAGCCTCCGCCGGCCTGACAAACTGCTGCTTTGCTCTCCGCATCCTCGTCCTGCTTATTTACCCAAAGATTGTATTAATCAACTTAATATGTCAGCTGAGAGCGTTTTCTCTCGATCCCACGGCGGAAACGCTGTCGAGGTGCTCCTCCCAGAGTGTTTTCCCAGGGAAGTTGAGCTCTGCCTGCCTGGCCGAGCCTTCGCTTGGCTTCGGGTGGCCAGCACAAAAGTTGAGGCTCTTCTCCTTGGTGACCTGGAGCTCCCAGGCCTGGCAGACCAAATCTGAAGCCCCAAACTGCCTCACCCTTCTCCCCAAACCACCCTCAGTGTCAAAACAGCTTTTCAAGAAGCCGTTGGCTGATGGACTGTGTTTCTGTTCTTCCAGGCACCCTGTGCATGTCAAAGAAGAGCCGTTGGATCCAGATGAAAATGAAGGCCCGCTATCCTTAGTGACAACAGCCAACCACAGTCCAGATTTCGATCACGACAGAGATTATGAAGATGAACCTGTAAATGAGGACATAGAATGAGTATGTCTGACATCGTCATCCTGAGAATGAAGATTGGAGGAACACGTCAAACTTAGCTGTGAAATCTCTCCATTATTGTACAGTCTGGAGGATTCTCAGTCCACTTTGACAACTATGAAATATGTTAACTCTTAGTGCCATCAAGTATCCCATTTGGGAGTATTTTTGATTTTTCTACTTTTTGTTGAAAAAAGGAATTTGTACTCTGTGCATTGGATGGACTTGTTTGGTACTTGGGATTTTCCTCTCTTACAGTCAACATCAGTGTTGTAAATTTGCTAAACTGATTCACTTGCATTTAGCAGCCAGCTGTGGACTGCAGGTCCTGCCAATTTTGGACACTTGAGGACATCAAACTGAGCATGTACACCTGAACTGCAGATCAAGTCTTTGCCCAGATTTTAAGGATTCCAATGGACAACATATTTGCACAGTACTGCATGTTGATTATCACTGCCTTTACTCCATTTTTTTTTTGGTTTTTTTTTTTTTTTTTTTTTTTTTTGTTGGTTTCTTGTTTTTGTTTTTTGCTTCCATTTGGGATGGGGAAGGCCTGTGTGTGCACGTGTGTGGATATGTGTGTGTGCGTGTGAGCGTGTATATCGGGGAGGGGTTAAAAGAAAAAATTATCCCAAACTTTTTAATGTATTGCTTTTATTCCCCCCGCCCCACTTCTCCTCTACCATTTTAAGTTCTGACCTCAGGCCTCATCTGGGCCCAGGGCCTCTCGGAGGCTTCAACGTTTTCTGTACTTTGTGATGAATGTTAATAGGTGTTTTTATTATACGAAGCTGAATGTCATTGAATTGTTTGTAGTTTTTTCTGTCATTCATTCCAGTTCCCTTCAGATGCCACCATGTTTTCTTTAGCTATGGAAAACATTCCATTTCGGTGTCTCCTTTTTTTGTTGTTGTTCTTTGAAAAGGTCCCAAATGCTGCACTATACATGTGGAAGGGTTGTCCAACGGAGAGAGAGGAACGAAGTACTGCAAGCATGAGAATGAATGACAGATGAACATAGAAACACTGTAGGAAGCAACACAGATTCATTCCACAAAGCAGTATTTGAACTTTTTTTGTTGTTGTTTGGATTTGAAATTTTATTTTTTTTTTTGGCAGCAACGGTGAATATTAGCAAATGCCACAAAATTGAACAGCACAAATATATGCAGCACCAACAGAGTTCACTTTTATCAGAGGATGAATAGTACAGTGGCAGGTTCTCGGTTGTTTTAACGTGAGTTCTAATGGGTCAATAAACCTTTCTGGAATATCCAAGATTACCGAGATGGGCACCTATACATGTATTATTACAATTTAAATTTAAGATTTTTTTTTTTTTTTCTTTTTGCATTTGCATTTGCAAATAGTGGTTGGAAAGATGACTTCATTAAATTGTTATTGTACGTGGTGATGTTTCACGGTTAAACATCAGTTCAGGATTGCTTGGTGGCATTAATCTGTTTGAATACAAATTAGATTTCAGATTGAACTTGTTCCGGGAGTTAATAAGGACGGAGCCCCACTAATGCTAAAGTGTTAATTTTCAGCTGTGCAAATCCAGTACTGCAGTTAAGATTGTTATGCAATATTACACCAGCCAGTATGGAAACCTCGCCGTAGGAGAGAATTCGTGCCGGGGCTTGTTAGGCAAAACTGGCAAGGCTCTTCAAAGCAAACATGACATACAAAATTTGTTGTGCTAGGTCAGTAAACCTCAGTCACCAAACGTTTTCATTCTGCAACCACTTCTCCGTCACACGTTTATTTATGTAGGACTCTAGCTTTTTTTTTTATTATTTCAAAAAGCCTTTCAGAGCTTAATTTATATTCTTCTTTGTACCTTTTTTTTTCCTAAAATTACCAAAGATGTTACACAAAGGTAAATTATGTTCTCTGTTATATGCTTTATCTTATGAAGCCAAATATCCTCTTATTGTTGATCAAAGGAGGTTGAAGAATTTAGAGGGAAATGACAAGATGTGGGCTATTGCTAACCTGAGAGGGAAACTGCTCCTTTATTCTAGAAAATTTAGAAGGCCAAGTAGATGTCTGAACCAAAGTTGTTACTTTTTATTTGCAATTCTTTACAGTGACCAAAATGAAAGTCTGTAAAGAGGAATCGAGGAGAGCTTTTGAGGCTAAAACTAGGAATCAGTGTTACCGGTGGAGCTACGAGAAGGGAGCTGGAGAAAGCAAAGGCACAATTATCTCGTGGAAGATGAGAGTATCAGATAAAGGAGACAGTTTAATAAAACACAGAAGAGAACAGAAAAGCTCCCACAATTTAACTGGACCACATAATAGTATTTCTAGAATTAAAAGGAAAAAAAAAAAATATTTTTGGTCTTTGGTTCTACAGATTCTGTGCCACTTCTGTTCCGGGACTGTGCTAGGATGACTGCTTTAGTTTTCGTTGATCTTGGCACATTTGCTCAGTTTTGTTTAGTTTTTGGTCAGCATTTTTCATAAAGGAAATAACACTCCTGTCCACTCATAAGCTTTGGTACAAGAAATTTTATTGGCAGTTACTTTCATAAAACTCAACTCTGCTTTCTATTTCAAAAGATAAAAAAAAAAAAAAAAAGAAAAAAAAAGGGCAGTCTGTGGTCATTTGAAACTTTTTTTTTTTTTTTTTGGGTTTAAATTATATCCAGGCAGCTTCGTGACGTGCCGGCGGTAGCCAGATAGGGATCATGAGGATTGAGCCCTGTGCTTCTGAACTGAGTGGTTTGCTGGTTAGTTCGGTATCCAGAAGGGGGATAAAAATCTGGTAGATTAGTTCATCCTCAGCATGTGTAGCTAGACATGAGTAAAGATAACAGCATGAGAAACTGTTAGTACGCATACCTCAGTCCAAACTGTTAGGGAATGAGTAAATAAAAGAAAAAAAAAAAATACATTTCACTCAGTTGCACTTAGTTGTATGTCTTGCATGCTTAGTCTAAAGACTGTAGCAAAAATTTAAAAAAAAAATTTAAAAAAAAAAGAGAAAAAGAAATAAAAAATTAGATTTTAACATATCTGGCAGGTGTCGCAGCCTCGCAGAAGAACCAACTGAAAATCTCAGGCTTTACATCAAGCAGACTTCACTATGATTTTTACAATTCTGATTCTGTATCCCTTTGGATATACAGTTGCTTCTTTAGGGAGGGGTTTATTATGTTGTACATATATATCCCACTGTGTCTGTGTGAGCCTTTGTCTTTTGGGGGGAGGGAGGGGAGGGAGGAAAAGGTGGAAAGGTCCTTTTTTTTTTTAGATATCATTCCTCAAAAGGAATAAATGCAGACCTGTTTGTCAAAACACCTTTTGCTTTTTGTGCAACTGCTTTATATTAACTATACTAAAAAAAAATAGCTTTGAAAAAAAAAAAACTACTGTATGTAATGGAATTGCAGAATACGCTGCACATGTATTTTATTTAGTTATCCTTGCTTTAAGAATATTGGATGACGTTTGCTGACATGTGGGAGAAAATCCCTGACTTTTTTTTTTCAGCTTTTAAATTGTAACATAGTTGACAGATTATTTTTTTTTTTCCTTCTCCTGTTATCATTGACCGAAGCATTTTTGTACAGTTTTTGTGTTTAAGCTGGTTTTTTTGATACTTTCCCACCCCTTCTGTCATCTTACCACTGCCTTTTCTGGCTGTCTTAAACAAAGTTCATATATTTGAAAGGAAAAAAAAAAAAAAAAGTTGTTTTAAAAAAAAAAATAATGTTTTTCTCCTGCTGCAGTAAATATTTTGCATGATGAATTCCAGGGTCACACTTTCAAAGTTTATCAGTGAAGTAGTGATTAATAATGGGGAGTGTCAAACTATTGAACTTTTGTATAAAAAAAACAAAAAAAAAACTTTACAAGGTGCCAAGATGTAAAGACAATTTGTTACATGTTTTTTTTCTCAAAGAAAAGCGTACATTATGAAAGTAGTACCATGTATCAGGTAAATCGCTGTCAGGAATGAGAGTCAAAGCCTTCCTTGTCCACAAAAAAAAAAAAAAAGAGTTTGTAAATGTAAAACCTGTTAGGTTTCTGCATTCAGCTAGAAGAGAAATTAAAAATCAAGGCTTATGTAGAATAAAGGACCACAAAAAAAATAACGACCTTCTTTTGATTCTCACTCGCAAGAGTCCCGCTGCAGGTCCTGCACCTCCCCTCTCCTGGAGCTCCTGCTCTGGGAGGAGACCGGCGCAGGGGTTCTGCTTCTACAAATATTGCAGATCATCAGATATTTTAT